GGGGGGGGGGGGGGGGAGAGAGATAGAGGGGGGGAGAGAGAGAGAGAAATGACGGGTAAAGGAGGGGGAAGAAGTTTTGGCGACGGCCACGCAGAGAGAAAACCCGCATACTAGTATATCATGATGTGTGCCCGCCGGAAGGGCTCTGTGACATTATGTTGCAAAGATATTATACCCGCAAGGCTTGGGAAGTCTTCAGGCAGGCAGAGACACTGGCGAAGACGCCTGGGTACCGAGTGTCAGTCGGTCGTGGCTGGCGGGCACAACATCGAAGGTGCAGCTTTCTCAAACAGAGGCAAGGGTGGGTGAAGCTCACCGAAGAACATCTTGACGCTCGATGTAGATGCTGTTGGTCGTTGTGAAAAACCAATCGAGAGTCAAGTTGTGGTACCCATTGTTGGGGAATCATCTTTGCACGATGTCCGCAGCTTTGAGAACTACAGCAGTGTAGCAAACTCTGTCTCCTTGACGTACCGAGCCTGGAGAATCACCGCCGGGTTAGGGCGTCGAATGCAATTCGTACATGCGCTCATCCCGACAAGATGAGATCTATGGTGAGTGAACGCTGTCCAGATGGTTCACCGTCTTTCTGTACCTGGTGGCACTCATCTTGAAAGGCAGCCAAGATTTGACAGCATTCCACCAGTCAACAACAGCGGTGTGGAGCCTACGTCGTCACCATGTCATTCGATACACTGAAGATTCTCTACCGGTACCCACTACGGTACACTTGGGCGTTCGTGTATGTCCCTCTCTCTGCCGTTGATCAATGCATCTCCGTTACAGACAACAGCACCAGGTGGTGTGATGTACCACTGCGGCACCACCACACGCGGAGCAATTCAGGATTTTGGGGACAGGGAGCAATTGGTCTTTTGCAAAGTTCCGCGGAATTGACCAATGTACAATATCATAAGAGTCACATCATGACCTAGCAACTGGCAACAGAAGACACGGAGAGCCAAGCTCCTCGCTTCGTAGCAATAACTACGATCCGTGTATCCGGTCATACAGCGGCGAGAGTATACGGCGGTAGTTGTAGATAGGAGTAGACAAGAAAGAGGGGGCAACCGGTTTCGTCGGCGGAACAACTGAAAACGGAGAACCGCCGTGATGACTTTCGGAGATTTTGCTCTACCGGACACAGACACACACCTTGTGCTTTTTCCCCCTTGTTCTTCTCCGGGTTCCGTTCTGCCAAACAACACTCTATCAAGCAGCACTCCCCCCCCGGCGGACCCCAGCTGATACACGCTGCACGCACAGGCTTACAAACTGCTCAAGATTTGATCAGAGCGAGACATCTCTGCGCGCGCGCCCGGTTGGAACCATGGTAATCCCATCGTACTTTCCACGAAACCTGTCCATCTGCGGATGCCCTTATAGACAACCATCAAGACACAACCCAGAATCAACAGGGAGCTCGAGACTAGAGCTTCTTCTGACGGGTCGGCGCCGCCTCTTCGGGGAGTCAGTCTTTTTCTCTACAGACCGAGAAAGAAGGTGGCTGGGAGGGTAGCTACCCCCAGTCAACCGCTTTTCTCGGCCATCTGGTGAACGATGACCGAAAAACGACGCGTATCGTACTTTTACCAGGGTGAGCGAGAAACCTGCCGGAGTGTCGTTTGTTGTCATCTTCATCTGTCCATAGGATCCACCGGGCTTACACAGGCAGCGCCTAAGAAGGCAGCCGCCAGGTAGATCGACTACCCCAGAAGCTAACCTCTGGTCTTTCATTCTCTAGGCCTGGACTTTTGGGCTCGGAAGTACGCCGAGTACTCACATCACCTAGTCTATTGCTGACCCCTGGCAGGGGCAAAAGAGCCGGTAAATTTGGGTAAGGGGTACAGTAGAGGTCCCTGTTTAGTGCCGGGGTGTGCCCAATAATTTCACCGGCACTATACCGGGCACCGGCACTATTCTTCAGTGCCTGAATAGTGCCAAAGGGGGACTATTCAGGGTCTCAAAATCCCTCAGTAGTGTCAGACCGGCACTATTGACGAACTGTGTGATTTCAGAGTGCAGCGCTTTGCTTTGCGGGGCCAACAGAGTAAGTACTACTGTACCACATGAAATGCACATGGTGATCATGGCATGGGCGTCGCGGGCAGACTGCTGTGCCACGATAGGTTCCTGCCCTGTCTAGCACACATATTTTGCTTAATAAGTTAACTGGACGGGACACACATGCTGCACCTTGTTGCTGTACCCACCTCAGCGCACGTACTGCACACTTGCACAACCTGACTTGCACCCTTCACATGAATATCGCAAAGGATGCATCTCATAGATGTCCAATATTTTTTTGGCAAGAATGCCGTGGCACTGGCCTTAAACGGATCAAACCATTTCGCGCAACCTCAACATCACTCCTCGACAGCGAAAGCAAACCACTGATGATGAAGCCCATGGATTTTTGGCGGTAACACTTTTGCGAAGCTCCTGCTGTCATAACCTATTGGTGAAGGAGGAAGCTAAATCTGCCTCCTCCTTACCCTCCTTCGATGCAGCCACAACAACAAAAAAAAAAACACGACCGCAAGAACGGGACATGCAAGAAATCAAACAGCCGCTGTCGCTGTAACCCCCGCCCTCACTACGTCGCGATAAATTCCCGCATGTGTTGTGTGTGCGTGCGTGCTTGAACCGGCACTGTTGTGGGGTTCAGTAGGGCCCAAACCGGCACTATAATGGGCAGCCCTGAATAGAGCCAGACCGGCACTATTCAGGGCGGGTTCTGTGCGCCGAGATTTGACCGGCACTTTACCGGCAACCGGCACTATTCAACCGGCACTAAACAGGGACCTCTACACGAAATCACGGAACATTTCACGGAAGCGTGTTTTCTCGAACATATATGGAGGCGTTTTTCCCCGAAAACGTTTTTACAGATCCGTGTTTTTGACAGAAGCATCGGACAAGCGCACCGCGGGCTCTGTAACATCACTGAGAACGCTAGAAAGACCTGCCAGACTCACGTTCAGGTTTTTTGTGGAGATGGACAAGCGGCAGAAGCGGCGTTCAGTCCGTTCTTGGTCCAAAACCAGACATTGCGTGGTGCTCTCGGCTTCAATTGCTGCTGTTGGTGCTGGGATTTTTTTTTCAATCACACATAGCAAACACGGAAACAGTAGGACGAGTATAGCAGCAGCACCAAGACCTCCAACGCGCTGATTCCTTCGGTTCGGCTGTCTATATGATATCATCTCCCGGCGCCGTGCTACTTCGTGGGTATTGGGTGCTTGGGTGCTGCTCAATAGGTGTGTGAGAGACGTGTGCCACCTCACCAAAGTGCCGTTGGAAAAAAGGCGGCGAGATGATCTGTTTTTGGTCAGATACGCCAACATCAATCCGCGACACCACGCAGCAGAAGAGTAACAGGGCCTCCGACACGCTAATTCTTTCGGATTGGCCATCTAAATGATGCTGGCAGTCAGCGCGGCTGCCGCCCTATGATTGTTGAGCTTGTCTACCTTTGGGCAGGTGGTGGTCAAAGGTGGGAGTCGCAACCGTGAAAAATGAGCTGGCAAACTGAAGAAATCGTAAGCAACACCTAGGTTGCGACAATCTGCCCTGCGCCTGTTGTTGTTGCTGAAAACTGAAAACAACAGGCCGGGTGGATAGAATCTATCTAAGTGTGTTGTCCTCTGTGCNGAAGAGTAACAGGGCCTCCGACACGCTAATTCTTTCGGATTGGCCATCTAAATGATGCTGGCAGTCAGCGCGGCTGCCGCCCTATGATTGTTGAGCTTGTCTACCTTTGGGCAGGTGGTGGTCAAAGGTGGGAGTCGCAACCGTGAAAAATGAGCTGGCAAACTGAAGAAATCGTAAGCAACACCTAGGTTGCGACAATCTGCCCTGCGCCTGTTGTTGTTGCTGAAAACTGAAAACAACAGGCCGGGTGGATAGAATCTATCTAAGTGTGTTGTCCTCTGTGCCGGGTGCTGCTCATTGCGCTTTTACCGCTGCTCTATGGTGAGCAACACCAAGTCAACCTGTTGTGTGCCGAGCGAAGCGTGTATTAGGGAAGGAAACGTACTTGTTGCGATGACATCACGAATAGAACAAGCGATTAAAAGTCGGGTTTTCTTTTCACCGTTCCGTGGAAAATTGCACGGCTTTTCCGAAGCGTTCATAACGAGCCTAAACAACCGAGAGACCTAAACGGCATCGAGACCAGACCGTGCTCCTTGTGCGTGTGTGTATCTGGAGAGCTATTGGAAGGCACCTTGGGTGGCTTTTGCATCGGCGGTAGCTGTTGGGGCAATCACTCGTTCGCCGTGACTCGTTCGCCGTACGATGGTTCATTGTCGGAAAGTGTTGGCGACGGCAGATGTTGGGGTTGGTGCGGTGTTTCATCCATGGGGTTGCTGACGTCAAGTCTGTGTTGTGTTCGATGCGTGCTCAACTGCTGTATCATAGTATGCTACGGAAGTACTAGATAGCATGCGGGGGACGGCCCCGACACAAGTGCTTGTTTCGGCACGTAACGGGGAACGCATCAGCCGCGAATAGGTGCTGCCTGTTTCGGCCGAACTGCTAGTATAGTGAGTCTGTTTTTTTTTTATCTCGCTCAATCGGAGCTCTTGTTTCTGTCAACTCGCCAAAAAAAAAGAGAAAAAAAGAAAATACAATCACCCGAAACGAACAGGTGGGACGAACAGCAGTGGTCATGCGTGTGCACAAGGCACACGCCCACGCTACGTTGTATAGTATACCGACAGCTGATTTTGTGTGTATCCGTTACCGGTCAGCATCATTGCATCCGTAGGCACGAGACACACACGCGTCTCACCTCCCCCTCCCCCCCCCACAAGTTGATCAGTGTAGGGGCACAGAGAATGTGAGCTCTTGACCCCCACCCCCCTTGCCTACAAAATGCAAGTTTGATGAAAACTGGTATGCATGTTGTAGCGCCGCTTGTTTTTTAAGTATACGAACAAGTTTTGCTGATATGAGGACCGAACTCCCGCTCTTATCGTTGAACGCAAGGAGATTTGTGTGTGTGTGTGTGTGTGTGTGTGTGTGTGTGTGTGTTTATTAGCATCGACCGCGCTAACCGGCTGACCAATGAATAGACGTCAGTCTCAGTGCGGCTGAAAACACTGAACACTTCTAAATGCCATAAACTGGGACCCCTTGAGAGGACGGCATGGGATAGACTAACCAATTCTCAGGATCAAAGACAGAAACGATCGCCACAGAAGAAAACTGCACACATCTACGAAGGCTGCTACCTTGCACTCGACTTCGTTTTGAAGTGCTTTCGCCGTCATCCTCCTTCCTTCCAACTCCATCGTTCTCATGATCGTTTTCACAGCAGCTTTTCGACATTTCTTCTCTGGCCCTGCGTCGTTTGTGGTGGGGAAGGTCATCTGGCTCGAAGCTCTTTCTCTCTTCCACGCCGTTATTCCCTCCTCGACTGCTGTTTTTGGTCTCGGTCTTGTCCTCCTCCCGTTCCCTCTCCTCCTCCTTCATCGCTGCCGAACGAGTTCCCCTCATTGCCATCGTGGTCGTTTCTATCTGCACCACGACTGAGATCCCAACCTGTTGGCCGTGGTGGGAACTGATCAGTCAGTAGCCCGTGGCGTTTGAAAACATCACGAGTTCGCACGGATAGAAAACGAGCCAGCTCGAAGGTAAACCGTCTCGGAATGCGTGTTTGTGTGTTCATATTATTGGCATCGACCGCTCTAACCGGCTGACCAATGACAAGACGTCAATCTCAGTGCTGTTGAAAACACACTTCTAAATGTCATTACGGGAACTCTGTGACGGGGCGGCATGGGGGAGGCTACTCTATTCTCCGGATGACAGACAGAAATGGTTGGAAACTGCACGCGTCTGCGAAGGCTCGTATCTTGCACTCGACTTCGTTTTGGAGTGCTTTCACCATCGTCCTCCTTGCTTTCACTCCACGATCACTCTCATCAGCTTACTGACAGCTATTTTTCGGAAGTTCTTCTCGCAGCGAAGAACTGCCGAAAAATAGCTATTAAAAAAAGTGACGATGAGAGTGATGAAAGTGAAAGCAAGGAGGATACCGTATATGACACAAGATAACACACCCCCTTGACCGATTTTCGAAGCTCGATTTCTCAACTGCAGGAACAATCACAGCGCCGAAAACGGCGGCGTTGAAACCGTCTCGTCGAGAGATTTTCGAAAATGTATTATTTCGATTATGCATCCTTTTCGTCGTGGAGTAATCGAGCTTTGAAAATCGGTCCAGGGGGTGTGCTATCTTGTGTCATATTCGGTAATTTCAACACGAACTCGAGTGCAAGGTAGCAGCCTTGGTTAACACGCGCAGTTGTGCTCTGTTGCTTCATTCCGTTTCTCTCTTTGATTCGGAGACTAGATTGGCCTCCCCCATGCCGCCCCCTCACAAGGTCCCATTTAATGGCAGATGGAAGTGTTTTGTGTTTTCAACCGCACCGAGACTGAGGTCTTTATTTATCTGTTTTTTTTCTTGTTGTATTTGCGTTGGCCGCGCAACATAGCTGGATAAAGGTCAGTCTTGCAGCGGTATAAAATAACGTGAAAACACCCTTCAGTATTCAAAGGGTTTTACCGACAGCAGTAGTGTATGTGTGACTTCGAAGTCAAACCCAAGTTCCTCACCCGCGTCGCCTCTTTTTTGTTCGTTTTTCCTTGCTCGCTCGTTTCATGAACATCACCCAGGCGACATCGGGCACTACTACTATGGGCCCGGTCACCCGATGAAGCCTCACAGGCTGAAACTGGCCCACCACCTCCTCCTGTCCTACAACCTGTACCGCGAGATGGACGTCTACAGACCCCACTTGGCGAGCAGCACGGTGAGCCAGCTCTTGCTTTTAGCGGCGGTTGGTGGTGTTTTACCGCGGTTGGTGGTGTTTGTATGACAGCAGTATATGCTCCCAGCTCTGTCCGGAAAGATAGGGTTCATTGTGGTGTTCTCGCTGGCATCCGAATGGCCCTTGTAATTTCGAACAGAGTGGTAGGTTCGTGTTACGTTTCGCTGTATTGGGTGCTGGAAATTATTCTGGTTTGTAGTGCCGGAGGCACATGTATCGATGGCGGCCGTGGCCGTGTCGCTGATTTGCCATACCCCCCCCCCCCCCCCCCCCCCCCCCCCCCCCCCCCCCCCCCCCCCCCCCCCCCCCC